TGCTCGCTCGTGCTCAGGGCCGTCCCGCACCCCGCGAGTGCTGCCCATCGCGCTCCTGGCTTCGACTCCTCTGTCTGCTGTAAAACTAGTCTCAGAACTGCTCTGCTAGGCCTCACTTTCCCCATCTATGAAATGGGTACCTGCCCCACTGGCTTTATTAAATTAGCTGTGCTGCTCAGAAAACGATTCCTCTGCCACCCAGGAACATTTCAGGGGAAGAAAAATGGTTTTTTTGATTTAGTCAAAAGGACAGTTCTTGAGACTTTTTCACATTTACTTGAAAAAACAGTTCCCAAATTTTTACTTTAAACCTAGAAAAATAGGAATGTATTGTTTTGTTTATTTAAAACATTCGGTTTCCATATTCTTGGGTTCCCCAGCAAAAACATGTTTGCAGAACTTCCCTTTGTGTCAAATGCTGTCTTTCGCTGGAAAAACATCAGAGGTCATTTATTAGAATATTTAGATCAACCATCCATAAATACTGGCATAGGCTGGAGGAAAAAATGGATAACTCAGCAAATACAAAAAAACCTGCTGCCAATCTGTGTGTTACCCTCCTCCCACCTCTCAAGTCTCCCCAGCCCCATGGACTTGTACACATCCAGCTTTTCCAAGTAGTCCCTAATGTGTTCTTTCACCGCTGAGGGCTGCTCACCTCCTCAAACTGCTGCTGGTGCAGTAGTGTGGGAGCTGACCTTGCCTGTGAAAACAGAGGCCAAAAAAAGGCACTGAGCACTTCAGTCTTTTCTGCATCCTGTCACAAGGTTGCCGCCCCCATTCAGTAAGGGGAGGCACTTTCCCTGATCTTCCTTTTGCTACTGACATACTTGTAAAAACCCTTCTTGTTACCCTTCATATCCCTTGCTAGCTGACACTCGAATTCTGCTTTGGCTTTCCTGACTTCATCCTTGCATGCCCGAGCAATGCTCGTATTCTTCCCTAGTTATTTGTCCAAGTTTCCACTTCTTATAAGCTTCCTTTTTATGGCCTAGTTTACTGAAGAGTTCCCCAAGCCAAGCTGGTCTTCTGCCATACTTGCTAGTCTTCCTGCGCATTGGGATGGTTTGTTCCTGCTCTGTCAGTAGGGCTTCTTTAAAGTATGGCCAGTTCTCCTGGACTCCTCTCCCACTCAGTCTGACTTCCCAGGGGATTATGCCCATGAGTTCCCCAAGCGAGTTGAAGTCTGCTTTTCTGAAGTCCAGGGTCCTGATGCTACTGCTTGCCATCCTTCCTTTCTTCAGGGTCCTAACTCAATCATCTCATGGTCACTGCTGCCCAGATTGCCATCCACTACTACATTCCCCACCAATTCTTCCCTATTTGTGAGCAGCAGGTCAAGAAGAGCATGGCCCCTACTTGGCCGCTCCAGCACTTGCACCAGGAAGTTGCCCCCAAGGCTCTCCAAAAACTTCCTGGATTGCCTGTACACTGCTGTATTGCCCTCCCAGCAGATGTCAAGGTCACTGAAGTCCCCCATGAGAACCAGGGCCTGTGACTGGGAAACTTCCACTAGCTGCTTGAAGAAAGCCTCATCCACCACTTCCTTGTGGTCTATAGCAGACCCCCCACTATGACCCTAACACAGAGACTCTCAACAGGCTTATCTCCAGCTTCACACCGGAACGCTAAGCAATCACATGGCTCTTTTACATACAATGAAATTCCTCCACCTTTTCTTCCCTGCCCATCCTTCCTGAACAGTTTGTACCCATCCACGACAGTGCTTCAGTTATGTGAGCTCTCCTATCACGTCCCTATTGTTCCAATCACGTCCCAGTTCCACAACTGTGCAAGGACTTCCTCTACACATACTACTGTTAACAAGGATGTTATCTCTGGAGACACAAAGCCACAGTTTGAGAACTGAAACTAAGCAGCGCAGAGATGCTTAATGGGATCTTCTAGACTGAGCACTAAGTCCCATTGGGCAGAGTGGTTTTCTTTTAAGCTTTACAAATCTATATAGAAGCCTCTGGGAACCCCATAAGATTGGGTCCCTAATATAGTCCATAGCCTGTTGTGACCTAGTTATAAGACTTTTCTAAAAAGGTTACATGCTATTTGAGACTATATTCATATAATTATAAGTTCTAATCCATGTTTTATAATATCTTTGAGCTTTAACATACCTTAAATTAAAAGTATCTTTATATAGTTGTTTTTAAAGCACCATAACCAAAAAAATTAAAAATATGATTAATAAAAAAGTCTGATTTAAATTTTTACAAATCCGATTTTTAAAAAAATTGTTGGTTTTTATCATAGAAATTAAGGGCTTGAAGGGACCTTGAAAGATCATCGAGTCCAACTCCTCTGCTCTGGGCAGGAATACTGCTAAGATCAAATGATCCCAGCAAGGTCTCTTGAAGACTTCCAAGGTTGGGGACTGCACCACCTCCTTGGGAAATCTATTCTACATTCTGGTCACCCTAACCATAAAGACGTTCTTCCTTACATCCAACCTGAGACCATCCTCTAACAGTTTTGTAGCCATTGCTCCTTGTTCTCCCCTGGGGTGTCCTAGTGAACAGTTTTCCCCCCGGCACCCAATATTCACCTTTTACATATTTATAGACAGCCACCACGTCCTTCCTCAGTCTTCTCTTCCCCAGGCTGAACAGTCCCAGATCCCTTAGTCTTTCCTCATAAGGTTTGTCCTCCAGATCCTTAATAATTCTTGTGGCCCTTCTCTGGACCCTTTCATAGATGCGCCTTTTTTGAAGTGTGGCGCCCAGTACTCCAGCTGGGGCCTCACCAGCATCAAGTAGACAGGAAGTATCAGTTCCTTATTCCTGCTTGCATTGCATTGGCTAATGCATCCCATTATGCTATTAGCTCTCTTGACTATAGCATTGTGCTGGTGGCTCATGATCATCCTGTAATCAGCCATAACCCAAAGGTCCCTTTCAGCCATCGTGCTGGCCAGGACATCTCCTCCTAACCTATAATCATGTCACTGGTTACTTCTCCCCAGATGAAGCACTCTGCATTTATCCTTACTGAACTGCATCTGGTTTTGCTCTGCCCACCTTTCCAGCTTGTCCAGGTCTGCTTGGATCCGCATCCTATTCCCTAGTGAGATCACTTTTCCCCATAACTTAGTACTGTCCACAAACTTGGCCAGTGAGCTTTCCGCATCCTCTTCTAAATAGTTGGTAAAGATGTTGAACAGCATGGGGCCAAGAACCAAACTCTGCGGGACACCACTGGCCACCTCCCTGGTCTCTTGCCTCTTCATCTGATTTGGGTGGTAGTAATCCTTTACCTACTATAAGGGAGTGGAGCATCTCTAGGAAATGTCACTGTGTCGTCATAGATTCATAGATGTTAGGGTCGGAAGGGGACCTCATCAGATCAAGTCCAACCCCCTGGCCTGGGTGGCAAAGAGTGCTGGGGTCACATGACCCCAGCCAGATGCTTACCCAACCTTCTCTTAAAAACCCCCAAGGTAGGGGAGAGCACCACCTCCCTTGGGAGCCCGTTCCAAATTCTGACCATCCTTACCGTGAAGTTCTGCCCGACGTCCAGCCTAAATCTGCTCTCTGTCAGTTTGTGACTGTTGTTCCTTCTTACCCGAGGAGGCACCCTGGTGAACAGAGCATCTCCAATTCCTTGCTGCCCCCACCAATGAATTTGTAGGCAGCCACAAGACCACCTCTTAGCCTTCTCTTTTGGAGGCTGAAGAGATCCAGGTCCCCTAGTCTTTCCTCATAGGGCTTGGCCTGCAAACCCTTAACCATACAAGTGGCCCTTCTCTGGACCCTCTCTAGGTTATTCACATCCTTCTTAAGGTACAAGTGCCCAAAACTGGACACAGTACTCCAACTGCGGTCTGACCAACGCAGCACAGAGGGCAAATATCACCTCCTTGGCTCTATTTGTCATGCATCTGCTAATGCATCATAACATGAGGTTAGCTTTGCTGATGATTTCATCACACTGACAACTCACGTTCATCTTGGAGTCCACTATGACTCTGAGATCCCATTCCGCTTCTGTGCTTCTGAGAGGATCATTCCCCAGCTGGTAAGTGTGCTGGATATTTTTTATGTCCTAGGTGCAGCACTCAGCATTTGTCCTTGTTGAATTGCATGCTATTGTGTTCAGCCCACTCTTCCAACCTGTCCAGGTCTGCCTGCAGTCATTCCCTACCCTCTGGTGTGTTCACTTCACCCCACAATTTAGTATCATCCACATAGACAGAGTATACCTCACTCCCACATCCAAGTCACTGATGAAGACATTGAAGAGTACAGGTCCAAGGACTGAGTCCTGCAGGACCCCACTGCTCAAATCCTTCCAGGTTGATACCAACCCATCCACCACCACTCTCTGCACGATCAAATGGGGCAACTGACATCTGACGCCCAAGAAAAAGCCAATCTCCTAAATGATTATTTTGCATCAGCCTTTCACCCGCCCATGGGGGTCAGACTGTCAGAATGGACACAAAACACCCAGGGAGCAGATGGGCCCACAATTGACGTAAATCTGGTGAGGGAACACCTCAAGAGGCTAGCCATCCATAAGCCCGTGGGCCCAGATGGAACGCACCAAAGACTCTCGAAGGAGCTGGCAGACATCATAGCACACCCTATAGCAAAGATATATGAAAATTCGTGGTGCTCGGGTGAGGCTCCAGAAGACTGGAAAAGAGCCGTGGTCCCAATCTTCAAGAAAGGAAGGAAGGAGGATCCAGGGAATTACAGGCCAATCAGTCTGATGTCCATCCCTAGAAAGACTGTGGAGAAAATCATCAAGGGATCCAACAGCAACAGGCTAATGAAAGGCAACCATCTGAATGCCAGTCAACATGGCTTTGTTACCGGTAGGTCTTGCCTGACTAACCTCGTCTCTGTGCGGGCCGGCTCCCGATCTTGGGGGCGAGCCGGGCCCGTCTTTGTGCACACAGGCTGTGGCCAGCAGCCCGGGCACGCGGGGCCGGAGAAAACCACGGCGCGGTATGGTACGCTCGAGCTAGAATCAGTCACGGAGGCGTAATGGTTGATTGAAAAGATTATTTACTTACACCCCAGGTGGTCGCGGTGTAGGCTGGTCAGCTTTCCAGGCACAGCTCCGCTTGAGTTCTCGGTGGAGGACTCTGATAGACTCGGTTCCTGACCCCGGAGTGGTTTAGGCTCTGCGGGTTCAACAATTCGTTCTCATGGAGCAGCTGAATCTCCGTGGGTTTCACTCGGTTCCCAGGTCCCCCAGAGCTGTTAAGACTCTGTGGGTTCGACAATTGGGTCCGTAGGATAGGGATACGTCTAGGGCTGCGGTCGGCGATGGGGAGAGGCTAGAGGTTATGTGCCTCGGAGTTGTTAAGGC